CCCCCCCCCCCCCCCCCCCCCCCCCCCCCCCCCAAGATACTTGATATATTAAGAAAGTCTCCAAACTGTGGAATTGCATCAGAAATTCGTATTGCTGCCACCACTCCCACAAAAGTCTACGACCGCACCTACATATTTTTGCATGTTTACAATTCTAATTTAATTTAAACATCCAATCGACGTTTAATTGTAATTGTTACCAAGAACCTGATTGGCTGTTCAAAATTAGAATTCTAAACATGCAAAATATGTAGGTGCAGTCGTAGACGTTTGTGGGAGTGGCAGTGATACGAATCTTTGATGCGATTCCACAGTTCGGTGACATTCGTGATAGATAAGGGTGTCTCTGAGAAACTTCTGATATACCCTGGGCATATATGTATTAACTACTGTACAAGGGATTTATTAGATCATGTAAAATGTACGCAGTTGAATTTTGAATGTGTATAGTTTCTTTATTACTATCTCTCTATAATTTTCAGGCAAAAACAGACTTAAAGTTATGGGCGATTGATCGCGTTAGCTACCGCAGAATCATTATGCTTAGTCAGATACGCACGAGAGAGTTATATGAACGTTTCTTGGAGAAAGTATCTATTCTTGAATCCCTGGATAAGTGGGAGAGACTTACTGTTGCTGATGCTCTCGAGCCTGTCTCGTTCGAAGATGGAGAGTATGTTGTTATACAGGGTGAACAGGGCGAAGACTTTTACATTATTGTCGAGGTAAGGTTTAAGAGGTATTTCTTTGTTTTAGCTTTATTCTCTAGTTTATACTGTTAGCTACCTTTTTAAATGCATCTGCCGGTTGAGAAACATAAAATAATAGTTAAAAATTGTCAATTAAAATAAAATTATCAACGATGCTTTAAAATTGACGCCATATTTACAGCCATATCAGCAAAACTTACTGAACTTCAGACATCATTTTCTCTTTGGCGTACCACCTAAAATATCTTTGTTTTAGCATTATTTTACAGATAAAGCACTAAATATACTTTTTAAGTTTGTTTGCCGATTGAGAAACGTATCGAAAAATAAAAATTTTGAATTTAGTCATAACCTCAAGTGATATATTATACGCATTAGTTTTGAGCGCGTGTTACGTAACATACAAAACAATCTCCTCTTAATTGGATAAATGTCAGTGTTTTGGGCATCTCACTCGATTGTTGAAGGGTTTTCTAGATGGAGATTTTGAGTGTAAATTTTACACATTTGTTAGACCTAACCAGGAGCAGTTGCAAAAAATTCAACTATAGGCCCTCTGTCAGGAATTGAACCTGCATGCGGCCCTGCAATTCGCCTTTCTCACGAAGGCCTAAATCCGCCATTTTTGGGTACTATTTTATCTAAGTCATTTTTGAGTACTATTTTATCTAAGGAAAAATCTGAGCGATGTGAAAATAATTTTTCAAATATTTAACTGTAAATCGATTTATAATGATTATACTTACAACTATAGTTATAGAAAGTTTCATTTTCACTGCTTACTATCCCTGTTCTAAAAAGGTTGCCACCCAAAAATGGCGGCGTAAGAAAGACTATAATTCCGATGCAGCAATTCTACCAACTGAGCTACAGAGGCCAGTTGTCGAGCTCTAATCGCAGGGGCATGTATATACTGTATACTATAATAAGATAGTGCGTCAATGTAAGGTGTTTTACAATTTAAATTTTAAATCTATATCTCAATCCCCCCCCCTCCCGCAATTTGAAGCCCATATCTTTATACTTCATCTGAAGAACAGTGTCTCGAAACTGACAAGAATTACGTCTTGTTTTCATTCAGGGAAACGCCGTCGTACTACAAAGACGGAGTGCGAACGAACCATTTGTCGAAGTTGGTCGGCTTGGACAATCAGATTATTTCGGTGAGTTTAAATCTTGGTGTTAGTGAGTTTGGGAACTTACAACAGTAACTTCATTGAAGACGTGCTCATCAACAATAGAATCTTTACTCTAAAACAAAAGCGACCAACAGATTACACTAACTTGAGCATTCTAGTACGCCGTAGTTAGTCGTACTGCTATATACGTTATTTATATCATAATTCTCATGGCTTTATAACCACGTCATATGTCGTGTGTTTTCTTCGGGTACTCCGGTTTCCGCGCACAGGGAATGTTGACAGGGTGGGTTGGGACTAGTCCCCTCACTTCCTCCGTGATCAGACATGATCAGAAGGTGGTTGCCAGAGGCGTCCTTAGAAAACCTTTGACTCGATCAGGTTGAGCTGCGTCCTTCGTAATTCAGCTTAGCTCTCAGCTGCAAGTAAGTACTTATACTTGCTAAGTGTAAATAACCAAGTTACTAATATTGAAAATATTCTACATTCCAGGTGAAATAGCTTTACTATTAAACAGACGTCGTGCCGCGACTGTACAAGCGCAAGGTCCTCTAAAGTGCGTCAAATTGGATCGTCAAAGATTCGAAAGGTTGCTTGGTCCATGCGTGGATATCCTAAAGAGAAATATCGAGCAGTACAATAGTTTTGTTTCATTGGTCGTATAAACTTTCACTTTGCGAATATGTAGTACATAGTCAATCACCCTATAGTTGTCTAACCGCGAGCAAAGGCTGGGGAATAACATCTAACTATGTAATAGAAGTTCAGTTTATTGAAATTAGTGTTACACCCGTTTTCAAAATTACGCGACCAGCACAACGGAATAGCTATACAATGTTGACATGTCAGTTTTGTGTTACGCGCTAAAACTAGCAAACGTAAACAAAAGGCAAAGAAAATTTCCAGTGTAAATTTTCCAAGAATCGACTCCGATTTTAACTATTCTTGAGATAAGGAGCTTCAACATGTCTGAGTTCGTAGGTGTTGACAGTAAGTCGACGAACGATGTTCATATTTGAAATTTTGTCAACATCGAACTGATCGAAATAACCAAAAGCACGCGCGTTACCGATAATAAATTCACTCTGACAGCAGAATTTGTGCTGAATGCAAACTAAATCCGTTCTCAGAGTGGTATTGTACATATCTATTTAATTAGTTTGTATTCACATTAGAAAGGTTGAAGAATGGCCACAAGAACCAGGCTTGCCAAAATCTACTTTTCTGCCATTTTCGCGAAAAAACTTGTTCGCTTCTGGCTACAGTACTACATCATCACACGTCGATCAGCGCGCGCACTTTCACTTGCTGACAATAACTTTCAATTTGCAATAATTATCACTAAAATATTTTTAAAATCCTTGTAAACTTTTTCATATAAACCATGCAAAACATATACTTTAATTGACAACGAACCGCAAAACTCAAAGTTGTAAACATTCGTGACCGCATGACATAAGACTGACATTTGCACTATAAGAAAATTTCGGGCAGGCGCGTAATTTGGAAATGGTGTAAATTGGATTTCTTTTCGAAAAGCAACCTCAGCCCCGTGTTAGCGGATAATCTTATATGTCGCATGTATAAATAGACCACGATTCATCAAGATTGACGTGTCGTCGCTGCTGTTGTGAAGTCCATTGTCTAGTCCATGGCTTGTTATTCTTAAGTTGTAAATTATACAGACAGTAGTGCGACCACCCATAAGCTCCTCAAATAATTTCCAAGACATTTTCAGATTAAGCTTACTCTTTCGAACACGGAAACGGGGGGAAAAACACTGATCTATCAGTGGGAAAAAGAGTCCACCTTGTCACCAGCCTGTTCTAAGGTACA